CAAAGGTTCACTCAGATGTCAATGAAGGTTTTTCTGGCAGAAAAAAATTTCTGAACAGACTTCCTGTCTTTAATCTACTCTGTAGTTTCAAGATGAGAAATTACATAAACATAAGGTTTAGGGTTAACTTACTTCTCGGGAGATCTGATCGTCTATGTGCATTTACATTCATGTAAGAGTTAGGAAACTCACAGGAAGTAAGAAATTGAGTATGATTACTATCATACTGGGAAACCTGGACCAGAACTCTGAAACTTCTTACGTTCTCTTTTCTTGGCAAAGATTTTGTACCTAGGGCCCTCAGATCATGGCTTCTGGTTCTGCCTACTTAATAGTGAGAGCAGGCAAAAGTTAGCTGTAAGGGTTTATGCCTTAAGATGATGCCCAACAGACTTGCCTCTTTCTAGAATAGACTACATGGAGGCCATCAGCTCTGCCTAGACTCCTAAATATAATTCAGACTCCATATCAAACCATGATCTAGCTGAGCCGTCATTGCTAAAAACCCATGGTCTATACTTCGCACTGGACCCACCACATAGACACTAAGATCAAGATCTACATGAGGAAGGAATTTCATTCTACAACAAATACTGCAATCAAACAGTTCTTATTAATTATATTCTAGACACTAAGTTGGTTTTGATGGGGCAGGTCTAAACAGGTTAAATAACACGAAAAGTTTCCCAAAAGCCAACAAATCAGGTCATATATTGCTTTTCAAAATACGTCACTCTTGAGAATCTTAACAGTGCTCCAACTTTATTTTGTTGAACTTCTTGCCAACAGAAATGACAAAACAATGGAAAAAATGAAAGTAAGGGGAAGGCAGCATAGGTAAGTGTGAATTACCTGCACTGGCTCCAGATACTGCTTTGGAAATGGCACTGCTAGAAATTGCTCTGTTTCTCTTCATGATCTCCTCAAATTCCGCTTCACTCACTGTAGATGGCGGAGGGCCCGAATCTCGGCTGCAAGAGATAATACCATTCCTGATGGCCCATATGCCTTGTTATCTTTACTGTACTCTATAATACCACTAAGGTCCCTGGGTGGAGCAAGTGGTTTGCAGTGAGCTGCTAACCTAAAGGCTGGTGGTTTAAATCCACCCAGAGGCTCTGCAGAAGAAAGGCCTGGTGAATGGCATCTGTAAAGATTACAGCCAAGAAAAGCCTGTGAAGCAGGTCTACTCTGTATCACACAGGTTGACATAAGTTAGAACCGACTTGATGACCATCAACGGGTTTGGTTTTGGGGTTTATGGTACCGTTATTTAAACGTACTTCCACTGTATAATATCTTAAATAGTTCTCAGACTGTTCACATGTTTTATGTGTTCATCTTCTCTTCAAGGACAAGAGTTATATCATACACTTTTGTAATCCTGGCATTAGCCAACAATGCCAAACATTTGTAGCATCGTAACAGCCACTTAAAAGCGGCTATGAAAGACATGGTTTGGGTCAAGTGGGTAAGATGCACGCAAAATACCAAATAAAAACATTCACAAACAGATGGTAAACTATTTCCCAGGACTCAACACCATGACAACAGAGATCCCACAAGGGAAAACACAAGAATTCAGTGCGTACTTTCTCAGGGAGAACAAAATGCTTAACTCACTGACGACCCTACTATTCCTCGCTCAGATTTGAAAGGTAACGAGATAGTCCTTACCTGCCATGGTGGTTATAGGGTGCAGAGGCCTTCATGTAAGTATCTGGTGGAGGCCCCACAGAGGCATTTGGTGGAGGGAAGAAGGCTGGATTGAGGTGAAGGGCAGGCGGGATGGCCCCAGGGGGAGGTACAGCCAGATGAGGAGGTAATCGAGGAGGGGGAGGCATAAGATGCTGGTAGTGGATGCCAGGAGGAGGAGGAGGGACCCCGAAGCTTGAAGAGAGAGGTGGTGGGGGTGGAATTGGGGGTGGGGGCAGACCCATCAGGGGGAGGGCTGAAGGAGGGCGATTGAAGTAGGGAAGCACGCTGGGGGGCTTATCCACACGGGCAGACGAGGGTACAAGGTTCTCAGAGGGTGTGGCCCGCCCATCAGCAGAATCACTAGAATCTCGGGAATGGGCCCGTGGAGGTATTCCTATGAAGCAAAACAGAAGTGATGTTACTGCCCAGGCTTTAGACATGGGACCAGCTCATCCTTCAGCAAGAGACATCTGATAAGATACTGAAGTAAGATAACTGCGGTAGCTGAGAAAGAAGGTAAAATCATCTACTGCCCTTCCTTTGGCCTCAGAGAAAAGGTCAGTTATAATAAAGACCCAGCCGCTCTAAATGTTGTATGTCAAAGTATGCTTTTCATCCAGCACTCTCAGAGCACTTCAGAACACATTTCATTTATTGAAACACCACATCTCCTGATAAGGGTTCAGGGCCTCTCTCCTTAGACCAGCACTAATCAACTCTCTACCCTGCTGTGCATTTGACACAGCACTGTGGTCAGGGAATTTTGGGCTGGGGCGAGAGGGGATGCAGGGGATGGACACTTCCTGCATCCACATATAAAAACTGGTCATTGGAGTAGGGAAGATACACACATGAAAAGTACTAGACTGGAGAATAAGTGAGAGGTAAAGAGAAAACGGGAGAGAAGCCAAGAAAAGATGTACCCACAGAAGGAGCAGATGGCACACAGCTGACAGCAGGGACTCCTAGGTAGAAAACATGCCTCAAATCTAGGGAACTCCTACTACATTTCAACAGCTAGACCCTCCATCCCACAAGACAGTCTACCAGGAACACCATCATAGTATGCTAGTATGATGGTGTGCCCAACAGGGGTTCAACACGTTTGTGTCTAGCTGGAAGCATGGCTTCTGACGTTGTCAAGTCACTTTACTAAACGTGTTCCCTCTCTCCAATTTCAGAGTCTACTCTAAGCCTGGTTAATCTGGAATCTAACCAGTGAACATGATCACAGGGCCTTGAAAGTTTTGGAGATAGAAAGATGCCATTAGTAGATAAGTGTGGAGGGAAAGAAGAGTGTTCTACAGCCTAAAACTCATTAGTCAATCCCAACTCCTGATTAAAGCCAAAGGTGGATTTAATTACCCTGAAATCCACCTTGGTTTCTCTACTACACTATTGGCCAGTGCCTGTCATAGCATGCTTTTATTCTTCACTTCCAGGGGTCTCTCGAACTGGAGAGAGATGAGGTATCAGGCAAGTGTGACTCTCTGAAAGTTAACCACTTTACCAGCTACCGTTCCTACCTCTGCAAGAGTTCTGTTTTGTATCTATGGCTACAAGTCTCAAGGGTAGCAACCATTTTTAAGCAGAGAAAGGCCATCAGCTACACTTAGAGAATTAACAGAGCCCAAGTCCATCAAAGTGACAGAGTAGAAAAATAACAGTCAGTCACCACCATCATTTCAGCTAAGGTAACACCAAGGAGTAAACAGGAGAGTGGAGGTAGGAATGCTACCCCCATACCACTACAAAATTATACATCTCAGGCAAGAAAGTAAGAGGCTTGAATAATAGACTCTCAAATGGAAGGGACCTGAAAATTCAAATTGCTAAGGATAAAAGTGTATGCTTGGAGCTCATATCACAACCATCCATGCTCTCAATCTAGCTAAAAAATGGTTACTGCTCTTCAAGAGAACTGGCCATACTGCCACCTGGACAATACACCCTATCAATACAGGGCATTATTCTCAGAGCAGGACCTAAGCAATGACAGAACGGAGGTGATGAAGCTTTGCCATCTCCCTGCTGTAGTAACAGAAGGGTGAAGGTGGCTGGCTGTTTCAGGTGGGGCCCTGCAGGGAGACTGCAATTTGTGAGGCCAGAACAATCCAAGGTCTGGTCCTTAGGTTTCGCAGGTTCAGAAACTCGAGTTTTATCAGTTCACCAGGGGGATTGAAACCCTATGAGATTGATTCACACTAACCAAACTCACAAGACACTGATTCATAAACCAGAATGCCAATTTATTAATTTACAACGAGAAATATAACTGCCAAGCAGACCGGAATACTTGTGTCGGCTGGTCAGCGCATTCTCTTCCCAGTAGGAGAGCCTAGTTGGGAAACCAAATTAGTATCAGAAGGTTGCCTGGTGAGTACGGTCATAATAAAGGGAGTAAGATGAACTTAAGGGATGCTATCATCAAGCTAAAGTAGTATGCTGCAACTTTCTTTACTAACGGGATATACTTGCCAAGCAGACCAAAATATTTGTGATTCAAAGGGCACCCTTTCCTCTGGACAATGCTGGAGAAACACTGTTAAATTCTTAGTCTCCAACTCTCCTTTTGGTTGATTCCTTGCAGACCATACTTTCAATGTACACTTATGACAAAACTACAACCATCTTTACATTAGTTACATTTAAGGGTGGCCACTTCTTGATAACTTACAGAGACAACTATTTCTCATGTCAACTACTTCCAAATTATAATGCAGAATAAATTAGTTAAGTCTGTTCACCATACACTGATTTTTAGATGGAAACACAGAATTCAGAGCTGACAGGGATTTAGCCATCATGTATCTAATTCAGGTGGGGAAACAGGCTCTAATCAGTAAAGTGACTTGCCGAAGGTTAGTGGCACAGTCAAACTACAACCTGACCTACCCAACTCCCAGTACTGTGTTCGTCTACATGAGCCTCATTACTTTGGCCCACCCATTAACCATGGTGCTACCGACAACCACCACCATCACCCTCCCCCACAATATAGGCTGAGCCTACACCACAGAAAACAAACCCACAAACCTCCCCCCTTTCATACAGATGGTCTCCACGTACCCCCTCTTGGGACTCGGACGCACTCACGTTTCCGAGCCTGTGCTTCAAACTGTGATAGGTTTTGCCGGGTGGCCGGCCTCACGTCCACTTTTTCCCCATTAAGAACTTTTCCTGGCAGGAGTTCCAACAATTTGTGGACAGAGTTTTCAGAGGCTACCACCACTTCAGCATACCTTGAGAAAGAAAAATAAAAAATGAGATCTACAAGACAACTAGAGGAAGAAACAAATTCTCTTCCACTTTAATGAAAATTGGTAAAGAAAATGCTGTTTTGCTACTAGTAAGACACACAAACCTACAGCAAAAACGCATCAGCCTGTAATCTTCCTGCTTATTTACAATTAATTAATTTTGCCCCCCCAATGGCTAGATGTTCCACTATATTGCAGCTATGTCTCCATTCTAAGGTGGTTTGCTAAAACCAAGACAATAAATCGGGCCAAGGGTGGGAAGGATAAAAACAGGGTCAAAATATAGTGCAAAGCTGTTATCCCAATGGTTACAAACTAAAAGGGGCTTTTCAAAACCAGACCTCACCCTTTAGACTGGCCATTTGCTCGATTCTCTGCAAATTTCAACTCCACCACATCATAGACTCCTATTGAGCGAATAACCTGGATCAGCTGCTGGTCTGTAGTCCACTGGGGCCGGCAAAATGGAAAAGGAAGAAATGTCAAGAGCTACAAAGCCTCCTCCCACCCAGAATGACCCAAACCCTTCCCCTAAACCTAAGATCTAGTCACAACGTGGCCTCCCATAGGAAACCCAAAAGCCCTGTAAGATTTTGATTGGCACAGGCTTTTCTCACCGTCCTTGCTATTAATAAAGAATTCCAAACCCACTCACCTCCTCCCCAACCCCCATCTTTAGAAATTAGAAAGATTAAAATCTATTTAACTTTGACTGCCATGTGGGCAGGCTGGTCATCAATTCCAACACTGACTATGAGCAGCTGTAAATTACCGATCTGACAGGCTAGAGTAGACCACTGCCAGAAGCCTCCCTCTCAGTATATCCGTTTCTCACTCTGGAACCACTCCCCCACCCAGCCCCCAACGGGTCATACAATCACTTCTGCAGAACAGTCACCACCTACCCAGAGTGCACTAGAGCTAGCAAGGTCTTTGGTCCCCGTCACCCACCATTAGCACAGGACCATCTAATGACCACCAAGAGTTCAAGGTGTTCACTCTGAAATCTCGTCCCACAGATGACCCTGCTAGACATAAAGCCCCAGGGTCAGGGGCAGCAACAATATGGCAGAAAAAGCAACTACCCACTTAATCATTGCTTTCTTCGGCACCAGTACGTCCTCAGGATAGTTCTCTTTCAGAGATCAATCCAACCTGATCCCAGGAAAAAGAAATCCAACCCCATCAGAGCACAAAACAGTGCAACAATGTGGTTTCTGAAAATGCCATCACCTCCCAGCACTCTCCCTCCAGCCCAACCGTAAGCCTTTTTGGTTGCCCATGCTCACCCAGGAGAAGCTGCCCACATAGACAGCAGCTCGTCTATTACGAAGGCCACTGTACGTGTACAGAATTGCAGGGGTCTTGTTGTTGGGCTTCGGAGACGGCTCCTGGCGAACAGGAGGTGGTGGCTCAGTGCTGCTGCTTCTGTCATCTGAGGGCTGGGAGGTGGCTGTCAGTACATCATCATACAGGTCAATCTGATCTGTATTGTTGAACTCTGGGTCCTAAGAGATGAGGGGATGGCAAAGGTGAGTTTGCAAACCTTCCCTTTCATTCACTCTACTTCACTTTGGTTTACTTAGAACCCATACAATTAAATACTACGTAAAACGACGTATCCTTATCCTTGCCCTATTCTAGGAAACTACACTTAAAAAACTTCCCCATTTAAACTATATCATTTAATTCTACTTATGAAGGTTTTTTGTCCAAGACTGTTAGCAATCTTCCATATTTTTGGCTTTAGCCACCTGTGAGAATCAAAAGGTGCATAATGATTAAGGAAGCAAACCAAGAATACATAATGAAACACAAGTGCCACTGTTACTAATGAGGTTGGCTTCTATAGACCACGTCTAAGATACATTAATGAAAATAAATTTTCATTATGCTATTTAATTAAATTATTTAATTATGCTATTTCCGAATTTGAGAGATGCTCACAGTACACAATCTTATCCTTCTAATAACCATCAAGGAAACACAAAAAGCAATACAAGGGAAGAGAATAACTCTGGCGATTTTTCCCCTTCTAAGTTCTATTTCTCAAATGACATTCAGACCCAATACATCACCATACTTATATAGAAGACACCCTTGAGCAATACCAGAGATGTTCAATGATATACAAAAAGCAACAAAGTTCACTAAAATATAAGGATCAGAAAACAAGACAAACATCCACATCCCAAGCTGTGTCATAGTAAGCATTTACAAAATGTATATCCTGGAAAGTATGCTAAATATAACTTTTGCCTGTGATATAGTAATATACACCTAAAACTACAAGACCTACTAAAAAGAGACTTTAATGATTCAGATTTTGCAATATCATTATCTCAGAGAAATCTTTTTAAGGATCAGACAAGTATTTTTCCAAAGCGTTCAAACAGTACTAAAGTATGGTGCTGCTAAAATGACAAAGAAGATTCTTAGACTTTCAAAGCATTTTAGGGAACCTACAGTTGAGGAAGACCCTCAACAAGATGGACTGACACAGTGGCTGCAACAATGGGCTCAAGCATAACAACGACTGTGAGGATGGCGCAGGACCGGCCAGTGTTTCATTCTGCTGTACACAGGGTGGCCATGAGCCGGAACTGACTCGACGGCACCTAACAACAACAACAACACAGTTCATTCATCTAATCGGGAATAAAGGAGGCACCTAAGTTAGGTAATTTGTCTAACTCCCTGAAGAAACAGTTCCTTGTCCTCCAGGACAAGCTGCTCCTATGGACACTTTCTCCCCCAATCCCATCACAAGAACTACTGATTCTGAGATGAGACCAGAGAGGACAGACTTGCCACAAAACTCATTTTTTTTTATCTTTTAAAATCTTTTTAAATCACAAACTTTTGGAAACAATCTTACAGCTTCTCAGTTTACCTGAAGTACAACGGAAGAACACGCACACTAACATAACGCTCTTGGATAGTTCTGATGGGGGAAAGGATTCTACCTGTATCAGTACTTCCTGTAGCATATAAATAATTTCAAATGTTATGAATACTGTACTCTACGGAATTCCACAGGAAAGGGGCCTCATTAAACTAGAATCACAAAGATAACGGCAAAAGAGAGTAAACTTTTTAGGGATGATATAAAAACAAGAAAAAGAAGCAATGAGGCACATAAGCACAAGAAGACTGTTCTAGATGGTCAAACCTATAAATAAGGATCTTGTACAAAAAACAGGTGTGTGTGTGAAGAATGGGGAGAGAAGCTAACACAAGGCAAATAATAAATTAAGGTGAAGTTAGCTGGAGCTAATAACTTGACAAACATTTTCTGTTTAATTAAAACCTCTAAAATACATTATACATCTTATGTCTCAAACCATCACAACTCTAGATAAATCACTTATCCATGCACTAGGCATGGTGATTTGATCTCATGGTCCAAGGTAGAGAAGGGCCCTTTAAGTCATTTAATCCTATCCAATGCTCTAATCCTTACAGAGGACTACTTCACATCCATTTTTTTTGGCTTGTTTTTAATCAAAGATTTTGAAATGGAGCTTAAAAAAACACAGCATCTTGGATAGCCAGTGCAACCATGTTGAGATTCCTGCTATACAGTAACTGTGATTCAAAGATATGTATCTAAAAGTTGTAATACAAAAATTACCACTGATAATCGGGGGTGAACTAACATGCAGATCTAGACAGCTCAGAGACCAAACACATAAAGAAATCCCCCTTATTGTAAACCCAGGTGATCGATCTCTTTTTGAGGGCCTCTTAGAAAAAATGATACTCAATCCTAGAGGACCTTGGTGTACGGAATAGCGCTTTAACATAAAAAGATTCAACGAATACAAAATTCACAACGTTCAAATGGTTTCTCTGGGCCATAGAGGCTCAGTTCACAGGGTAGGCCTACTGAGGCTTCTACTGAAGAAACAAGGATCAAATTGCATTTGGATTTAAATCTGCTACAGCTACAAATTCATTTTACTTGTTCAACTGTTATGATGGAAAAACAGATAAGGGCCTGAGCCAGTGATTTATTCAGTGATGGATTAGGTTAAAACAAACCTAGTTACATAAATTAAACAAAAGACACTATGTTTTTCATTCATTGACATTGAAGGCTTCATTCCAGGAAGATTAAACAAAAAATGCATAGTCAATACTGAATGAATGTATCAGAAAAAGTTTTGTTTAGTAGTAGCTCCAGAAGAACTGTGATTATCTCACAAAGCTTCTTGCTGCTCATTAAACAAAAGAGAACTTACATGACTTTGAATTTAAATAAGATTTTCTTCATTGCTATGCTCAATGTTCTATACCCCCCCATCTCCTTCCTCCTGATATCTGACCCAGGGAAGTAACTAGTGTAGGATTTATCTCTATCAAAGCAACCTATTTAATACCATTGTTTCTTTCAACTGTAACATAAGCTCAATTAGAGTTTTTGGTTTTATAATTACCCTTTCCATAGCTCTCACCTCATACCCTCCTTTCCCATCATTGCACTTGTTACTCTGCACTGTCACTGTGCATCATCCTCACTCAACAGACTGGAACCTCTTTGAGTACAGGGATCCATTTTCTTCCCCTTACCTCACCAGCCTTGGTACAGTGCTATCACATAGAGGTAGCTCAAAAAAGACTTGACGTTAATAAGGAAGGGAACTGAGCATACTATGCAAAGCCTTTCTCAGCACGAGAAAGAACACAGACAAAGCACTTGGTAGACTGGCAGCTCAAAGCCACCTTTCCAGAGTTCTTCTTCTCAGCCCAAGACAGCAGTTGTGAATCCCAGGACTCCCACTGTAACAAGAGTAAAGCAGCTCTGTGAGGGGCCTTTGCAGTACGTGCTGTAAGAGACCAGGGAGTCAGCACCATAATGCTCCATCTAGCACCCTGTTCATTTTCCCTGGGGAGCAAAGTACATGAGGGGATGAGGGGCGTTCTTGTGCATGGGCCAGCTTAGGGTGAATCAATACCATTCTTAAAACATTCTCAAACTCAATCTGTACTGGCTGCCCTCAGTCTAAACCTACTTCTAACAATCCTAGCCAGACAAAGCTTTTATCATTTCTTTAGCAGCTTTCAGATTACACTAAAACCAGCTTTGCCAAAAATTAACTTTTCTGTATGAGGAAAAAAGCACCCTCCCCTCACCTTCCACAAGATAAAAAGCACTGAAAATCTACATTTTCTTCAACTTGCCCAGCATCAAGTATTGCCTGTCTGGAATAAATGCCTACTGAGCTCCACATGCCATCATTAGCCTCAGCCCTGTAAAAAGTCCTTTAAAACTAAAAAGACCAGAGAACAAACTGATAAGGCCAACAACTTCTACCATGATAGAGCAGTGAGTACTGGACAAGGCCTGTGTCCTGTTTATGGCCTGCAAGTTATACTAATTGTGAAATATCATCTTCTCAGAATGTGGCTAGACATGTGTCAAGGACCTTGTTCTGCCTATTTCCCAGAGTAAAGTGGCAGCACCATCAACCCACAGGTAAGAAAATTAAGAGCGGCTTTTCTCATGATAGAGAGAAACTAAGGGAGCCTTCTTTCCTTGCTATCTTGTTAAAAACCAACCAACCATAATTTGCAAAAAGAAATCTGATTCAAAGGAATCCAGAAAACAATGGTTTAGCATTAAATTAATACACTAAATTTTTCTTTTCTATTCATAAATAATTGACTTTTTTTTAAAAGTTTTTTCTACATATTTAAGACAATTAACAGCCATATGTAGATGACTCCACAGATCACCTGACAAGACAACCGAAAACAATTATTACAAAGTACAATTGATGGGGAAACCCTGGTGATGTAGTGGTTAACTGCTATGGTTGCCAACCAAAATGTCAGCAGTTCGAATCCACCAGGCGCTCCTTGGAAACTCTATGGGGCAGTTTTACTTTGTCTTACAGGGTCGCTGAGTTGGAATCAACTCGACAGCAATGTTTTTTTTTATGGGTATAGCTGATGGATAATGGTGATGGTTGCACAACACGAAAGTAACTGTTACTGAATTGAACATGTAAAAGAAGGTGAAATGGCAAACGCTTTGTTATGTATATTTTTACAATAAAAAAATTTTAAAAAGTACAATGGGTAAAGTTGTATAATGGGTAGAAGGACGTCCTTACACTGTTCTCTTGACTTTTGTGCATGCTTTAAAACCTCCATGTTAAAAAACCATAATGCATTAAAAAAAATTTTTTATGTAACTTATACTAACTGAAAAAATAAAACCAAAAACCAAACTCGCTGCCATTGAGTTGATTCCAACTCATAGCGACCCCATAGGACAGAGGAGAACTGCCCCATAGGGTTTCCAAGGAGCGGCTGGTGGATTCCAACTGCCAGTCTTTTGGTTAGCAGCCGAGCTCTTAACCACTTTGCCACCAGGGCCCCAACTGAAAAAATGGCATGTATCAACTTCTGCTGCCTCACGTCAAAGACAGGGCCTAACCGGGGCACTTGCCTCCTCTAATCATTCTTTTATCCTCTTTCTAGGTTCTTATATGTATCCATTGGAAGATGCCAACGTGAAGAATCAGCTTACCCAAGTAGAATGGTGCTGAAAAACAATCCAGGCAATATATTAGTAAGTTTTAAACAGAGACTTTGGAGCATTCTTGGGATCTGACCTCAAGATTTCAGAACTGAACTGAATATAAGATTACTGTTTCAAGGGAGAGAACATTTTTGTATAGTGTTCTTCGACATAAAAACACTGAGACCAACAAACCATTTTAGGGTATATCAGCAAGTCTACACCTGTTTTTTAACTGATGTGTCCAACAACTTTCCCTCTTTCCCCTTCTTCAAACAATAAGGTTCATCAATAAAAATACACCAAAATGCCTATGGATTCCTCAAGACTGCACTCAAGCTACTTACAGAAAGAAGAAAACCGTAAAATAGTTGGAATTGAGATGAAATTAAATGTTAAAATACATGCTTTATACTATGCCTTTGCATTACTCTATGGGAGAGTGGAGACTACATTTTTCTCCAGCTGCAGTTTGAGAAAATAGCAACGGAACAGATATCAACATTGTCCTCATGAGACTATAGCAAACACAACTCTGATTTTTAAGTGTGGCTAGTCTCTGAGAAGATTCACACCCAACTGTGACTTCCTGAGGGAGCACGTTCCACAGGTTCATTCACCATTCAATTAAGCCTGATTTTTATTTGCTCTTAAATCAAAACCTTTAAGATGAAGCCTAGAGGCTCAGGTTAACATAAAGCAGAATAGTAAGTAGTAGTCTCAAAGGAAAGAAAACTTTAGATCTGTGTAAGGACAAACACCAATCGAAAATAAGAGATTTTAATTCTCCCTGTTGAAAATAAGAAAAGAGGCTCCCTTCCTCCTTTTTTTTTAAAATTCACTTTAGAGAACTCATAATTGCAAAATCTTTGATTTTCTGAAAAGTATGTAAACCAAGGATGTTTCCTAAAGGACCTGGGAACCATCTTTTGAAATGTAATCATCAAGAAAGCCTACACCCCTACCTCCCAGTTTCCTGGAAGGAGATTAGCATAATTTTAGGTATCCCGCCATAAAGATGTTATAAAACTTGTAATTTTATCTTAAACATGAATATAATGAGTTGTATCTACTCAGCTATATAAAAGACTTACGTTTCTGCAATCGCTTTAGCGGACTGCCCGTGATGCATCACATTCTGGTTTAATGCTTACTCAATAACCAAATTTTTCTTTCTCTTCTATTTTTGTGGACAAGTTTTCTAGGTTTGGACCAGATTTCATTTTTAGTAACTTTTCCCCAACATCAGATAGAAGAATGTTCAGGTCCAGCAAGTCCCCAAAGACTGACACAGCTTTGAACCACTACAAGTTTGCTGGAAGTGACTCCTAAAATGATGAAGACAATCACAAGGTTCCTGATGTCCCCTCACCTGGTTGAACTCCTCGTCCGCGTATATATCAATCAAGTCTACTCCTTCTGACATGGCTCCGGAAGGAAGATCTCGAGCCCGGAGAATGGAGAAAGAAAGATGCCACTGCAGTATCCACAAAAAGGCAGAAGTTAGAAGGCATGGGGGTCCTGGGGTGGGAGGGCAATGGTTGCCAACCTCCCGTCTCCAGAGACGCAGCATCCCGACAGCCTGAGCTCGGCCCCACCCGCCCCGCCCCCGGCCTCGCGCCGCCCCCGCTCTCCCAGACCGTCGGGGCTCGCTGCCCATCACCCTCGGGCCCGACCCGGGTTAGGCCGCGCTGGCGCCCCAGCAACCTATGGCGCGACGAGAAAATCCAGGCCTCGGCTCCTTAGAGGCCCTTGGACAGTGCTGCGAAGAACGGCCGCGGCGAAGCCCACAGCCCCCGCCCGCCGCACCTGCCTAGGCCCCGAGGCGACCCCGGCGGGTCCAGCAACGCCACCCGGATCGGCACCGCCTCCAGCCTCTGGCTCCCCATCCGGGCCCGTCCTCGCCCTCCGGGTAGGCCCGCCCCACTCCCTCCCCACTGAGCCGGCCTGACGCCCGCGGCCTCCTCCCGCGGAGACCCGCGTCTTCCTCAGCCCGCGGCTAAGGCCGCCCCAGGCTCAACCGACCCCCATCCCGCCTCTGTGTTGGCCCCAACCCCTCTTCCGGCCCAGCCGGCCCCCAGCCGCGCGCCCCCGTTACCGGGAATATGGCGGCGGCGGCGGCGAGTCCGGAGTAGGCCCGAAGCGCGCGAACCTTTCTCGGCCTCAGGTCCCGCCCCCTCCCCCCCGCCGCCGTCGTCATCACACGCACCGCCACTTCCGCCATACGCAGGGACGTGTCTTCCGGTTCAGACGGAGCGCTGAAGTCCGCGGGTTCGGTAGCCTGGGGGTTCCCGGAAGTGACCCGGCCACAGGCTTCCGGTGCGGGCCAGGGGAAAAATGGCAGTGACCACCGTGTTCTCAGCTGTGGCGCGGGTGAGAAGAGCGGAGGTCCTAGGGTTCCGGGCGGGTGGCAGCAGTGGCTGAGTCTTGTCCTTCTTCGCGGTCACGGCGACCGCAGGAAGGGCCCAGCAGCCCGATAGGCCGACCCAAGGGGAGAACGATCCTGCAGCTTAGGAAATTCAGGTTACTTCCACCGTTTCGTGGGTCCCCTGTGTGCTTGTCCCGTACTATCGTCGACCGATTGGTCATCTTGCGAGACCCGGTTCAGATGTCATTCACCTCCCAATTAGAGACAGCCCGACCTCTTCGGGGCGCTCCTTCTCCCTGTTTTTAAGTCTTCTCTAATGTCTATTATGATTTCACATCGTATCTTGATAGTTTTGTGCCCATCTCTAGATTGGGAGCCTTTGGAGGATTAGATATCATGCCTTCTCTGGATCTCTGTGTCGTCAGGGTTTAACACAGGCAGATGGTTAGATACAAACCGTACAACCAAAAAACTCGTTGTGATCCAGTGGATTCCAACTCATAGTGATCCTACAGGACACAGTAGAACTGCTCCATAGGTTTCCAAGGCTGTAAATCTTTATGGAAGCAGACTGCCACATTTTTCTCCCAAGGAGTGGCTGGTGGGTTCAAACTAGACCATTCAGTTAGTGGCTGAGGGGTTAACCACTGCGCCACCAGGGCACTGGAATCTATTTGATGGCAATAGGTTTGGTTTGGAATGCCCTTAGAATGTAGTAAATTTTGAGTGAATAACAGTGATGGTAGCTCTTGTTTGTTTCAGGTGCTTGCTCTGTCAAGACGCAGCCTAGCATTTCCTTTGCTCAGCGTGACATCATTCAGACACTTTTACAGAGGTGACAGCCCAACAGATTCCCAAAAAGACTTGATTGAAATCCCTTTGCCTCCATGGCAGGAGCGAATTGATGAATCCATAGAAACCAAAAGAGCCCGCCTGCTCTACGAGAGCAGAAAGAGGGGAATGTTGGAGAATTGCATTCTCCTTAGGTAAGGGAGTAGGAGTCTTGGTGTCATTTCTCTTTGACTAGAGTCAGCCTTTTCAATGCTTTTGTTTTTCTTTCTCATTTTTAGCCTCTTTGCTAAAGAACATCTCCACCACATGACAGAGAAGCAGCTCAACCTCTATGATCGCCTGATTAATGAGCCCAGTAATGACTGGGATATTTACTACTGGGCCACAGGTACTGGGTATGATAAGCAGCATAATATAGAAATACGATGACTTGGAGTGTTTTGAGTCTGGAATTCTATCTGCGGAAATTTTTTCTTTCATTCATGCAATAGGCACTCAACTCAGACATTCTTCACATGTTCCCAAAGTGTGCACAATTTATCAGTTGAAGTTCTTTGTTTGCAAGTAACAAACCTAACAAGCAAAAAAGGGTTTTAGTGGAAGGGTATGGGAAGCTCTCAGTATAAACGGGAAGGCTGAAGAAGAACCAGCTGAGAATGTACTGGAACCAGACAGCTCTAAAGTCTGCATAGCAAGAACGCCACAGTATTCTTACTCAGGCACTGCTTTTGCAAAGAATGAATTCTGTGTATAGTTAAGATTAAGGAGCTCTGGTGTCACAGTGGTTAAGCGCTCAGGTGCTAACCAAAACGTTGGTGGTTCCAACCCACCACCCACTCGGCGGGAGAAAGATAGGGCAGTCTGCTTCTGTAAAGATTACAGCCTTGGAAACCGTATGGGGCAGTTCTGCTCTGTCCTATAGGGTCGTGATGAGTTGGAATCAACTCAACAGCAAAGGGGTCTTTATAGTTAAGATTAGCTTTGGCTATGAGTGAAAACGTTGGAAAGCATAATGGCTTAAACAAGATGAGATTACGTTTATCTTTCTCATAAATTCATTTCAAAGCTCAGAGAAGGGCTCAGCAAGTTGTGAGACCCAGGTTCCTCTTGATTTGCTGCTCATCCGTCCTCAGCATGTATCTTCTACCCGATGGTCCGAGATGGCTGCTGAAGCACTGTCATGTCCGTATTCATCTAGGAGAAAAGTGAAGAGAGCATGCCTCCTTCTTTAAGGCTACTTCTCAGAAAATTATACACTATACTCCCACTTATTTTACATTGGCCACAGTTTAGTCACATGACTACACCTAGCCATAAAGAAGAGATAAGACAGTCTATTCCAGGACAGTCTGCCCAACTAAGTTGAAGGCTTTATCATCAATGAAAAAGGGGAGAATGGATATTCGGGGATATCACATCCATTTCTGCCACACTCCGGGCCTCTTGTTTTTGTGTCAGAAAATAAGGCAGTCTATAGGTTCTGAATATGAAGGGTCATAATACAACGATTGGGGTGCTGGTAGTGCCGTGGTTAAGCGTTGGCTGCTAACCAAAAAGGTCAGCAGTTAGAATCTACCAGCCACTCCTTGGAAACCCCATGGGGCAGTTCTTCTCTGTCCTATAGGGTTGCTATGAGTCAGAATCGACTCGATGGCGGTAGGTTTGGTTTAATACAGCCATTAGAAGCCTGGGAGAGCGATGGTCACCTAACTGCTGGCAATTTCAGCCTACAGCAACAAAGTAGGTGGTTCTTAAGAGCTTACCTGGAAGCTGCTGTGAATCTCAAGACATGATGCATTTCAAGTTCCCATGTAGTAGAACTTTCTCAGTCTGCAGCATCAAAGTGCATGGGTCTCAAAGACCTCTCTGGAAGCTGCGTTGACCCTCATGTCTGCTCACTCACCTATCCGTAGCTGCTCCCAGAGAATACTGGCCTGTTTTCTTTCACATTGCAATTTCACATGAGTGTCTCTCATTGGCAGACTCTAACATGGAGTCAGATAGGAAGAGGATATGGTAAAAGATAGTCCCTGGTTTCCTTAGAAAAGGTGATGGGGATGTCAGCCTATGCCGTCGAGTCGATTCCGACTCATAGTGAGCAAATAGGACAGAGTAGAACTGCCCCACAGGGTTTCCAAGGCTGTAAATCTTTACGGAAGCAGACTGCCATATCTTTCTCCTGAGAGTGGCTGGTGGGTTTGAATCACCAACCTTTCGGTTAGCAGCCGAGTGTTTAACCACTATCCCACTGAGGGCCCCTTGATGAGGATATCAAGTTGACAATAAGTTATTTAGCCAAAGACAAAAATCCCGGAAGGGAAAGTGCAGTTGGCTGAATTTAATGCATATATTTGCTCCTTAGCCGTTCCACTGCAATAAGCGGAAGCATCTGGAGGAAGAACCTTCTAGGGACCCTTCAGTTTATGTAGTACAAAGACAGGCACACAGATTTACTTTCTTACCAAGCCTACACATTGAACCAAAAAGCAAACCCACTGCCATCGAGTCAATTCTGACAAATAGTGACCCTGTAGGACAAAGTAGAACTGCCCCGTAGGGTTTCCAAGGCTCTAAATCTTATGGAAGCAGAGTGCCACATCTTTCTCCCATGGAGCAGCTGGTGGGTTCAAACTGCCGACCTTTCAGTTAGCAGCTGAGAGCTTAACCACTGTGCCACCAGGGCTCCTTGTCTACACATTGGAAGGGTGGTTTCCCTGAAACAAAAGAAATCTGAATGCTGTGAAGAGGTGGTAATTTATAGCTGCCCAGAATATTAGTTAGCAGGTGTTTTTAGCTCTTATGAGAAACAGTGTCTTGAAAGGTAGGACTTCTGGAGGACCATTATAAAATTCAAGAAAATAAATTTGCATTTTGTAAGTGTGATCAGGCTGGGACCTGGTAGACCTTTCCTTTGCTATACTTGGTTGCCCAAGTACTAAGAGGAAATCACTTTCTTTTCCATCTCTCAAGAGTATTTTTGTGGAAGACCATAACGATACTCCTCGTACTAGGAGAGGTACTGCCAGTTCCTTAGGGCACCTGAAGGAAGGCGTTTCAGTATCTGGTGCTGCTATAACAGAAATTCCGCAAGTGGATGACTTCAGCAAACAAATTTATTCTGTCACAGTTCAGGAGGCTAGAAGTCCAAATTCAGAGCACTGGTTCTAGGGCAAGGCTTTCTGTCTGTCAGCTCTGGAGGAAGGCCCTTATCTCTTTGGATCTTCTTCTCCTGGACAGTCTTCATGTGCTTGGCATCTCTCTTCCCCCATCTCTGCTTCCTAGCTTGCTTTTAATCTCTTATATTTCAGAAGAGATTGGCTCAAAATACTCTCTATGCTAATATGCCTAATTAGCATAACCAATACAACTCATTCCCAAATGGGATTCTAACCACAGGCATAGAGGTTAGTATTTACAACATGTATTTTTGAGAGACACAATTCAATCCATAACATTAATGGAATCGGTTGGTAGCATTTGGCTAGCCCTTGCTGGTTATGACTCTTTGGGGCTGACAGCATCTATTCTGCCTCCAGTAATCTGTTCTTTTTTATTGTCATTAGTAATATATTATATTAGTGTACCACAGTTCGTTTATCCATTGTCCAGTTTAAGGATATTAGGGTTGTTTTTTGGTGATTATTAATAAAGCCACTGTAAGTGTTTATGTGGAGGTTCTTGTGAAGCTAGTTTTCATTTCTCTTGGGTAAATACCCAGGAGAAGGATTGCTGGGTCATATGGTAAGTGTAAGAAGCTACCAAACTGTTTTTCAAATTAACTGACAAGCTATGTCTAAGAGGTCTTGTTGTTCCACATCTTTGTCAGCACTTGGGATTATCAGGTTTTTTGTTGTTTAGCCATTCTGAGAAGTATGTAGTGATTTATTGCTATTGTTTTGACAGGCGTGTCCCTAATGACTAATATATTGAGCATCTTTTCAAGTCTTTATTTGTCATTCATGGTGGTGTGTCTCTCCAAACCCCCATTTTATTTAGTTGGGCTGTTTGTCCCCACTCTTCCCTCTTTTAAATTGAGTTGTTTCTTATTATTGAGTTTTAAGTGTTCTTACTATGTTTTAGAATCAAGTCTTTTATCAGATATGTGTTTTGCAAACGTTTTCTCCTAGTCTGGCATCTTTTCATTTTCTTAAGAATATGTTTCAAAGAGTAGTTTTTAATTTTAACGAAATGCAGTGTATCACTTTTGTTTAATAGATTGTGTGTTTGGTGTTGTGTCTAAGGGCTCTTTGCCTAATTCACAGTCACAAAGATTTTTCTTGAAATTTTATAGTTTTAGGTTTTACATTTAGGCCTATGATCCATTTTAAGTTAATTTTTTCATATATGGCACAAGGTATGGGTTGAGGTACCTTTTTTTGCATATGGGTATAAATTTTTCAACATCATTTATTGAAAAGACTATCCTTTCTCTATTGAATTGTCTTTGCACCTGTGTTGAAAATCAATTGACCATATATGTGCAGGTCTATTTCTAGACTCTGTTCTGTTCCATTGACCTATGTGTCTATCCTTTTGCCAATACCAAACTGTCTGCATTGCTGTAGCTTTATGGTAAGTCTTGAAATCAGGTAGTATGAGTCCTCCAACTTTGTTCTTTTTCAAAATTGTTTTGGCTGTTCGCCTTCCCTTATAAGCTTCAGAATCAGCTGCTTAATTTCTCCAAAAAAAGGAAAAGAAATTTCCTGCTTGGATTTTGATTGGAGTTGTGTTAAATCAATAGATCAAATCTGGAAGATTCTTAACAATTTAGAATCTTTCAGTCTATGAGTATATCTCTTCGCTTATTTAGATTTTGTTTGATATCAGTATTTTATGTATTGCTGCATAACAAATCTCCCCAAAATTTATCAGTTTACAACAATACACTTATCTCTGTTTCTGTGGGTCCAGAATCTAGGCGTGGCTTCACTGGGTCCTCTGCTTCATGATCTTTCATGAGATTGCAATCAAAGTTTCTGCCCAGGGCCGTAGTCTCATCTGAAAACTTCACTGGGGAAGCACTGACTGGAGGAAGAAGCTTCTAGGGACCCTTCTGTTTATGTAGTACAAAGACAGGCATACAGACTTATCTTCTTACCAAGTCTACACATTGGGAAGGGATATTTCCCTGAAAAAATAAGAAATCTGAATGACTCAGGATGGGAGCTGGCATAGCCTTCCCAGCTGTCTCTTTTGGCAGAATTCAGTTCTTCACAGCCTCTCAGACTAAGAGCCTCAGTTTTTTGCTGGGTGTTGCCTGGAGGCCACCCTCCATTCCTTGACATGGGCCTCCCACATGACAGCTTATGACATCAAAGCCTACAATCCAAGAAGGCAGTAGAGAGTCGGCTAGCACGTGTAAGTCATAGGGTTATAACCTAATCACAG